CCTCCTTGGTGAAGTGTCTGTTCATGTCTTCTGCCCATTTTTTAATTGGATTATTTGTCTTTTTGTTATTGAGGTGTTGGAGTGTTCTATAAATTCTAGAGATAAGTCCCTTGTCATCCACTTTTCCTTTTTAATCCCTGATTCTATTAGTTGGTTTTGTACAGCTGAAACCCTATCCTTGTTGCTGATTAATTCTTAAAAGTAGGTCAATCTTCCATCATCACAGGAGGTGTCTCAAGCTCAATTGGCATAACATACTACACAAAACATTGATTCACCTCCTAGGTTAGTGAGTAGCGACTGGGATCTTAAAATCTTGCAAGCAGTCATCTAGATGCAATGATGGGTCTCTCCTCGTCCAGAGCAAAGAAGAATGAAGAAAACCAAAGATTCATGGAAACAATTAGTCCAAGTGACTGGTACACCATGCGATCCTCAACCTATATGATTATGAGACCAGAAGAACTAGATGGTGCCTAGCTACCACTGTCAACCACTCGGAGGGGGATCTATATAGCAGATTCTGGACAGAGTGGGAGAACAATGTGGAACAAAACTCAAAATCATTTGGGAAAAAAAAAAAAAAACAAACATAAGGGACCAGGTTTGCTCGTCTGATAGAGCCTGAGGGAACCACTGAGACTATAGCCCCTAGCTGCCCTTCAGGTCTGGAATTGAACTCACTCTTATGGCTTCCAGCCAAACAAAAGACAGGCATATGAGCTGAACATTTACATTAGGAAGATATACTCCTTGGAGAGATCAATCATGGGAAAACAGAAGGTGTATGCACAGGGAGATAGCTCAGGGGGCAGGAGTGCATGGGAGGGAAGGACACAGGGAAGAGGTTAACTATAACTATGGGGAGAAAGTGGGAGGGGAGCTGTTGCATTGTGGTAAATTATAGTCAATGACATGAGACAAAGTGTAGGTGAGCTGCTGTATGGAAAGTGAATTTGCTCTGTAAATTTTCACCCATGTCACAATTAAAAAAAAAAAAAAAAGGTAGTTGATCTTCAGTATATAGTATTTTAAGTTATTTAAGACAACTTCATTGGAAAGGCTCTATGGGGATGGCCTGTCCATTTTAATGCATTAACCTCTGTGCTAGGAATTACCCTCTGGTCCCACTTTCTGTCCTTCCCCAGCCTGCTGGACTTTAAATGTTTGTTCATCATTCACTGGGGTATGAGTTGGAGTTGGCTAGGATTTTTTTTTCCCCCTGTCTACCTAGATGTAAATTAGACTAATTTATTTATTTTATATTTTATTTTTTAAAGACATTTATATAGACTTAACTTAATTGGCTCCTTATTCAGGGCAGCTGCTCAGCTGACTCATCATTAAATTTAACCTGTTTATCCTGATGTTAGGAGCTCCGGTGGTGTAGTGCCTCAGACATTTGACTGCTAACCAGAAGGCTGGGGGTTCAAACCCACCAGCCACTCTTTGGAAGGAAGATTGGGCAATTTACTTCCGTAGAGATACCACCTTGGAAACCCAAGGAGGGGTCGCTATGAGTCGGATCCGACTCTACAGCAGTGAGTTTTGTTCTTGTTTTGTCCTGATCTTGGATCTGTAGGTATTTTCCTTCAAATAGTGAGATAATCAAGGTAAAGAGATGAGGAAAAGGAGATGAGAGTTTTTGTGGTCCTAAGAATGGTCTCATTCCTTTCCCCAGAAAAATTGAGCTGCTAGAGTGGATGCCCACTCCTCAGAAGGAAGGTTAGGCAATCTTACTTCCGTAGTGATACTGCCTCGGAAACCCAAGGAGGGGTCGCTATGAGTCGGGGCCGACTCGACGGCAAACAACAACAACAAAGAGTGGATGCCCAGTTGATTGTCTTTGCTTGTGTCAGCAACTTCCTCATAAAAGCAAAATGAGAGAGGAAACCTTGAGCTCTCCCAGAAGGTAAAATGTGCTGCAACTAGCCTTCTTGTTGTGAAGTGTATTAGGATAATTCTATTTTGTAGGGTGGGAATGGCCTATCAAGCATGGGAAACTAGGGAGTGGGGCCAACTAAAGTAAAGACAGGCAAAGGGAGGGGAAAAACGTGATAAAGATTGAGCAGTATTTCCCTTCTCCCCCCAAGGCCTTTCTCCCTCTCAGTCAGTGGAAGGGAAATGAGTACCATGAGCAACTGAATGTGGGTTGAAAAGATAGAAGGAAGGCAAACAAATTAATTTAGTTGCTTTGACAGCAATCGTGTGCAGTTCTGGGTTTGAACTCAAGTCAGCTCCCTTTTGCCTTGATATTTTTATCTTTGTGCTCATTGAGATGTGCGATGCAAAACTAAAACTAATCCACACATGAAAATTGTATAATCTCCATATCCCATGAGACACATTTCTTAGAAAAAGTGATCATATGTTGAAGTATCATTCTTATTCATCCTCATTGGTGGTTTTCTCCTTACCCTTTTTCCCTCCCATTAATCATGTCATCTCCTGTTGTGTATCTTGAATTAGATTTTGTTTGTTTGTTTGTTTGTTTGATCAAAACAGCTCTGACTCTTACATGGCACATATGTGCTTTTGAATTCTGCTTAAAAGGAATTGTGGTGACAAGCTCATCAATGATTTTTGTAAGGTACTCAACCTATGTCTTCTTGCTTCAGCAACTCAATCTATGCTTTGGGAAGGCAGAAATGGTTTGGAAACAAAGGGTAAAAAAGTCTCACTGACTTTGTTTATCTGGGGTGCTGGGAAGAATTAAGGGGACAGACTACTGAATTATCCATAGATCCTCCAAGGAAATAGAAAGCAAGGATGACCACTAGATTTTATGAATATATGTCTCTGTCTCCTTGTGTTGGCCTCTTCTCTCCACCATTGCCTTTTGTTTTTCTGCCATTCCAGGAGAATCTTCTCTCTGTCTTATATCTTGCCACTCTCACCACAATAAAACATGTTCTCCCTTTCTCTAGTTCCCTCTGTTACTCTCAAAGGTTTATTATAATCTACCACTGCATTTCATCATAGCCAAAATACTTCATTATTATTTTTGACAATGAGATGATGATGGTGTTGTCTGGAGGAATAGCTTTTGTTTAACAAGAGGAAATTGGCTCAGGACAACCCATCTAAATTGGATTCCCCTAATTTCCAAAGAGTTAAAAGCGACCAGAATGAAAAAGACATATTTGGCAATATACCAATTTAATGGAGATCCAAAACATTAAAAAGACATAACCAGAACTCAGCATTGCCAGAAGTGGTTAGACTTGCCACAGGAGATTTACTGGGGCTCATTATAAAACTGTAAAACTTCTACAAACAAGAATCGTGTCCTGCATTCATGGCCTTCCTGGATGTAAACTGGAGTTTCCCAACAAACTACACTGCCTTTTCAAGCTCATCTTTCCAGTCTATAAGGAACACTACCACATACATTAGTGAAGCACCAAATCTTAGAGGCCATTGGACAGCAGGTAAATGAGAGTCAGTCCAGTATTCAAACCTCATACTGATGGCCTTGACAGGTGATGGCAATGTGCTCAATAAGACTTGAGCTTATATGGCTCCTTCCTGCTTTCTTGGTCTCTCTTAGGTCTGCCTTGCCCAGTTTAATCCTCCCTCCTTCTCTGTAACTTAGTCCGGGTTTCTTCTTGTCGACGTCTCCAAGCAGCAATAATGGCTTCATCGTCCATTTCTTCCTCTTCCTCTCTATCAGTGCTTCTGTGATACTGGGACCGCCGCCCTGATGCAAACCTCCCTTCCTCTCTGTTTTCCATCCTCTCTTTTTCTCCCTCCTCCTCAGATTTCATGAAGCTCTGTGTGAACTTCCTCTTGGCTCCAAATTCAGAAAAATCCGATTTGGTTGATTCTTCTACATCTTCCCAATCCCTGGGCCTGGTCCAATTTCTATGCCGTGGCTCAGGTGACTCTTCCCCGTCAGAGGGCTCAGGGGTCCTGCGGAAGAAGTAGGGCTCTGGGCTTTCCTCTCGAGAACTTGAGGTCTCACTGAACATTGACCTGGAGAACTTGTGCATCTCTCTGCCCTCTTTGGTGGAAGAAGAAGAAAACCGAGAAGTGCTTCTTACAGAGTTGCCATTTGCCTCATGGTAGGAGGTGGTATCCTGTTCCTCTGACTGGGATTTGGAGAATTTGTAACTGGAGGATTTAGATTCTGTCTCTCGGAGCATGGAGGATCTGGTATACTTCCCTTTGGAGCTTCCAGACCAATCACTTTGGGGAAGAGATTTTTCCTCTGTCCTGAGGCCACTGAGCCACTTATTAATACTGCAATCTGTCTCTTTGTCAGCTCTGTTGTCATTTTCGTAACTATCAGATGCAGCCAGGGAGGAAGAAGTATCTGTTTCAGGCTTTTGGGAATTACTGTGGGAAGAGTATCGGAAGCTTCCTATGGCACTGTCAGTGTCCTCATCCCGGTAACCCACGTCATCATCCTCATCTTCTTTGACCTTCTTCTTCTTGAAAAGGGTGCTGCGTTTGTTGTCTGAGGCCAGCTTCTCCATTTTGTACTCGGACATCTTCTCCCTGAGCTCCATTTGCATCTCCTTCTCCTTCCGGCCAAGCTCCTTTAGGTCCACATTGTCTGCAAAGAGACTATAGATAGGCTTGCTGGTCCCCTTCACTTTACTTCCCGTGCCCTCAACTCTAGAGCTCAGCATGGTGTTGGAGGACAGCACAGATTGCGTGTCAGAGCTGGGTCTAGTCTGGTTCTGAGGCTGCAGGCAGCCACTCAGGGAGGAGCTGCTCTGTCTACCGAGCATGGAGACTTGGTCATCTGCTAGGCAGCTAGCCAGTGGTACTGCCTTCAGACTTGCAACTGACGGTGGGCGGGACAACATCAGCATTTCATTCTGCTTCTGGGCAAGGGTCTCGCTGACCACATTGGCAATCCAGTTCTGGATACTGGCAATGGAGATGGTGTCTCCAGGTCCCAGTGGCAGATTAGGCAGGGGTGTGGTAGGGTTGGAGGCAGAGTATCCCGCTATGTTGCTTGTGGCCTGAGATAGGTGGGGGCGGTGGCTCTGAGTGCTGAGTACCGATGCTGTGTCTCCATCAGCACTGACCGAGGGTGCTGCAGACCAGAATGCAGACAGGGGGATGCTCATGCTGGCCGCCGAGCTGTCTGCCTCCCAGCTGCCCATGGACTGGCTCTCCTCCAGTGTCTGCCGGCTCCTCTCCAGAAGCTCTAGCCTCCGCTGCCTCTTCTTGGCTGAGGCCGAGTCCTCCCCTTTGCTGAGCTCTACCACCTCCGCCTTGTTCTCACTTCCCACCTTCTTCTGGTGTTTCAGCTTCCAGGCCTGGTAGGCTGTCAGGTTGACATCAGAGAGGTTCTTCTTCTCCCCCTCTGCCTCCTCTGACCCTTGCTCACTGCTGTCATCTCTTGCCTCCAAGTCTTTTTTGTGAAATCCAAATTGGATTCTCTTGATCTTCCACCTCTCTAGGGCAGTGAGCTTGTCCTTATTCCTGCTGCAGAAGTTATAGAAGGAGCTAGGCTCCGAGGCCACACTCTCCTCATCATCCTCTCGCACCCTGCTCCCTGCCTCTGAGCTTGTGTCCACCTCCTCTCTCTTGCTCCTGGAGTGGTACTTCCGGGAGGCTTCCTGCTCAATCTCCAGCAGCCTCTGGTTCCACATGTCCCAGGTGCTCTCCGTGGACACAGAGTCAGAGCGACGCCTCCCAGCTCGATTCTGGCTGCTCATCTCCAGCTGCTGCTTCAGGACTCGTATGTCATGGCTGCTAACGCTCTCTGAGGTGCTGCTCTCACTCAGGGTGTGCCTCCTTCTTCTCCCCACAAAGGAGCCAGTCTCACTCTCCTCCTCTTCCTCCTCCCTGCCCCACCTCTGGTGCCGTCTTGCCTGGTATCGCTCATTTCGACACTGCCACTCCCTGATAATGCTCTCCACATCCTCATCCTCAGGCTCCTCCCTGCCCTGGCCAGAGGAAGTTGAGCTCTGGCCATCCCCACCCTGGGGGACCTTGCCTGTGGGGTGGCCTTGCCTCTTTTTCCATTCCTCATACAGCCTCTCTTCCTCCTCATCGTCAATAAGGGTGAGGGGCTTGGAGGCCTGGCTGGCCTTTCCCAAAGAGGAGCCGCTCAGGTGGCTGGTGGTGTCGTCCTCCTCCTCCACTGTGAGGGCATGCACTCTGGCCCCAAGTATGCTCCCCTCATCCGTGCCCTCCCTGGCCTCATCTTCTCCACCTTCCCTGTCATCATCCTCTTCTCTCTCTTCCATTAACTTCTCATTGAGCTCCCGGAGCTGCTTCAGGAAGCCTTCGTTGGGGTAGATGGCTCGCTTCTTGCGCACAGTCATCAAGGCCTCCAGGATGGCCATGTTGTGGAAGATCATCAGATAGGCGACCACCAGCACTGCTGACCGGCTGATGCCCATCTCACTACTGACCAGGACTTTCCCTGAAAATGAAACACAAAAATTTAGGCACTGCTGAGTGTAACCAAATAGAGATATCAGAGGGTCATTTGATATTTCTCTTTAAGAATAAGCAAATCAGTCTTAGCAGAAATACAATTAGAATGTTCCTCAGAAGTAAGGATGTCAAGACTTTGAATACATCATCACAAAAAACTAATTGCTAGAAAAGGACATCATGCTTGGTAAAGGAAAGGTTCAGCAGAAGGAGGGAAGCCCTCAGTGAGATGTAATGACACAACAATGGACTCGAACAATACTGAAGATGGCATAAGAATGGGAACTGTTTCATTCTATTATAGTTAAAGTCACTATGAATTGGAGCTAACAACATTAAACTTAAATAGCTAAAAGGATAACAACATAACTATAGTGGCTTCCCTATAGTTAAAATAAAAAGTTGTGTTTTGATGTGCTGGACTTCCTGTGTTAACTTTGCTTCTGGTGTTTCTGCAGGCTCATGTCATATGAGGAATTAGCATCATTGTCCTCATTACAGATGAGAACACAGAATGTTAAACACAGCAGTGAAGCTGCCCTCATGTTTATTGGAAATGTAACTATGTTTGCACACAAGCAGGGCTTGAGGTGGGGAAAAAATTAACAACTACTGTCACCACTTTTAAAACACTTGAGTGTATCTCTGCTCTCTAGCCACCAAACTCAGCATGAGAGGGAAGAAAATGTAGAATGGGGTAAGGAGGCAAAAACAAGAATGAGAGGCTGAGATAAATTAATCAAGAAGTAGAATCTCTTATGTTGGAGACCGCTGCAGAAGTCATAGTTTGAAATCTTATGTTGTTCAGGAATTTCTTTACAACATGCTTGATGCTGGATTGATCATCCAGCCTCTGCTAGGATGCTTCTAGTGACAGAGAGCTGACTATGTCACACGCGCACATACACACACACACACACATACATACATGCACATATACATACTCATTCCATATTTGGATCACTCTAATTTTCAGAAAGTTCTTTCTTATATTAGGACAAAATACAACTTTCTGGAACATGCAACCAAACAACCAATGCTCCTACTCTGGCATATTCTGGAGTCAATAAAAATGTATCTGTATGAAATATATATATATATTAATTGAGCTCTGGTGGCATAGTGCCTAAGGCATTTGACTGCTAACCCACCAGCCACTCCTTGGAAGCAAGATTGGGCAACCTACTTCTGTAGAGATACCACCCTAGGAAACCCAAGGAGGGGTTGCTATGAGTCGGAGACAACTCGGCGGCATATAACAACAACAACTATACACACACACACACATATAATCCTTATGTATGAAATAAGGAGCTCTGGTGGTGTAGTGCCTAAAACTTGTGACTTCTAACCAGAAGATTGGCAGTTCAAACCCACCAGCCACTCCACGGAAGGAAGACTGGACAATCTACTTCTATCAAGATTTACTGTCTTAGAAACCCAAAGGAGGTTACTATGAGTCAGAATCAACCTGATGGCAACGAGTTTGGGGTTTTTTTTTTGTTTTGTATATACGATATATATATATATGATATATATATATATATATATATATATATATATTCCTTAAGTAGATCACTATCATATTCTTACTAAGAAGATTTTCTTTGTTCTTTTCCAGGTTATTTTTATTCTTTTCAATCATTTCTTGGAACACAGCTTCATGTTCCCTTACTATTCTAGCCACTCTCCTCCAAGTCAAACTCAGTTATCAGTTTTTTTGTTTTTTTTTTTCCCTTAGAAATTTGTTCCAGGATAGAGCAAGATATTTTCGTTTGGAACTGATCCGCAGAGAGTAGCAAGGCACCCTCACCACCTTTGGTCTGGACACTGGGTCTTTACTGATGCCTACAAGTATGTGATGTTGGTGGATATGTCACACAATGAACTCAAATGATCTTTTATATCAGCTAAAACTTGTAACACTTTAAACAGCTTCTATTAAGCCTGACGTCTTAATAAAATGCTCTAATCTTGTAGCATTTTTTAAATATTAGGAAAATATTACAAGTTTCCGTTAATTTTTTTTCTAGGTGTGGCCTATAGAAATACGTGCAAGTCTTGACTCTATCATCAATAGATTAGTTGTCTCCTGCCTCCCCGCCTGCTTTGCATCCTTCATAACCTGATAGACATCCTTCTATGCCTTCATCTGAGTGATTACTTAGAAGGCAGAATGGAACCACTGGAGACCTTCCTCCAGGCTTTCATTAGCCTACTTGCCAACAACTTTGGAGATGTTTTGTAAATCGGTTACAAGTCCTACCTAACAATGTGGGGAGTGAGGGCAGTGACTCTTTTATTATTTTATCTGTGCACTAGTTAAGGCCATGTCTTTGTCCTTCAGGAGGTCAGAGATAGGCAAAAGGGATTGAAAGGACTTACTTCCAGGAGCCAGCAGCCATGGGAGGGAGGTAAGCAAGGAGAATCAAAGCCACTAAAAGAGTGTCCACAGGTTTACTTTCCCTAATGCCCCAGGGGCAGTGGTGGTTCAGTGGTAGAATTTTCACCTTCCATGTGGGAGACCTGTGTTCAATTCCTGACCAATGCATTTCAAGTGAATCTGTCTGTGAAGAATTGAATGTTGCTATGATGCTGAACATGTTTCAGTGGAACTTCCAGACTAAGATGGACTAAAAATAAAGGCCTGACAATCTACTTCTGAAAATCAGCCAATGAAAATCCTGTGAATCACTATGGTCCAATCCCGTTGTGTTACTTGGGCCAACTCGAAAACAACTAACAATAACAATCTTCTCCCACCTTTAGCTCAGTGCTCTCAACTGGACCTTACCAAGGACCTCCCCCTCCCCCACTTACCATCTGACCAGGCCATGACCTGCCACTAGTAGTCCCAAAGTTTCACTCTTTTCCTTTGGAGGTAGAACCATCAGACCAGGTCACTTCACAACAGAATCAGTCAGTCTTCCTCACAAGGGCACCAAATACTACTGAGACCCAGTCTGATCAGGATCAAGTTAGGGGTGCCATGTTTTTTCACTTTGTGATCCTTGTACCCTGGTATTTGTACTCCAAGGGATCTTAGGGGAAGCCTGAGGGACAAAGGAGAGGCTGAATGGGTGGATTCTAGGATTCAATCAGAGAAGTGACAGGATTTTCTTTCTCTGTTGGCCATGGAGTCCTTAAATATGGTTGTTTAATTTGTGCTGTATGGAACTCCAGGGGGTGCCCTTTGTGTTGAAACAGACTTGTTTGGCTTATGATGACACATTTCTGGCAGTAAAATGGTTTGAGGAAAGGGTTCTTTTTCTAATTTGTAGAGTCACTGATTTGATTAGCAGCAGGGCTGATGGGCCATTCCATCTAGATGTGGTCCTTCGGTTTTAAAATTTAAGGCATACAGGTAGTGGAGAGAGAATTGGACTTCAGTTAAGACTGATTTCAAATTCTCTCTACCATTCTCAGTATGCCTTTATAGGTCAGGAACTTGTGTGGTTCCTTCTAGTTCATAACCTTACCCTACTTTTCAGAATGTACTCCCTTGCCCTACTCCAAGAAAACACAGAAGTGCTAGTCCAGAAACCACCCCCATTGCCACCATTAATAGACATATATTAATAGACATATGACCAGAGTGTGCCAAAAAAATTCTCTCTCCAGGAAATTTGGAACTGGAACTGAAGCAGGAAATTAGCCTGAAATGGCCAGGGCTGTGGAGGACCAGATTCTACCTTAAAAAAAAAAAAAAAAAAAAAAACAACTCACTGTCACGGAGTCAGATCTAACTCATAGCGACCCCTCCTTGGGTTTCCGAGGCGGTATCAATATGGAAATAGATTGCCCAATCTTCCTTCTGAGGAGTGGCTGGTGGGTTTGAACTGCCAGCCTTCTAGTTAGCAGTCAACTGCCTTAGGCACTACACCACCAGATTCTACCTTAGGTAGAGAAAAAGAAGCTTACAACCAAGAGGGTTGTCCAGTCCTTTTTCCAGAACTATCCTGGGGCCAATTACATCCTTGTCCTTGGATTCCTTCCTAGGTCTTTTTAAGTAATGCCTTTGCTGTTTATAAAGTAGTTTGAGGTGGTTTGTACTGACTACTAACAAAAAAATATGGATTATTACACTTTGGCAAAGTCACATAACGTTCCAGGGGCCTTAATGTCCCAATCTGTAAAACGTAAAAACAACCTCCACTTTGTGAGTGATTATTAAGTAAATGCTTAACACCAAGTGTTTGAGTTTCTCCCTCCATTTGTTAGGAACTGACTTCCAAGCACCTTGTTGTTGTTTGGTGCAGTGAGTGGATTTTGACTCATAGTGACCTCAAGTGACAGATAGAACTGTCCCCATAGGTTTTTTTGTTTTTGTTTTTGCTTCAGTAATCTTTAGGAAAGCAGGTTGGTGGGTCTTTCTCCCACAGAGCCAATGGGTGGGTTCTAACCATCAACATTTTGGTTGAGCCCTTAACTGTTGCACCACCAAGGCTCCTTCCAAAGCGTTACAGATGAGGGGAACAACAGAAACTAAGCCTCAGGAGGCAATTCTAATGATACTGAGAGCTTCTCAGCGAAGTGATGCAACTACCACAAAAGCAACAATAGCAACAACATGGAGTTTCCTGTTCCCTCATAGGGATGCGGGAAGATTAAGCTGTATGTAGTGGATGGACAGCAGGGGAGAGGAAATCGATCATTGGGACAGCGCACTGGCCCCTGCAGGTGATTGGACTCCATCTGGTCCACAAAAGGGCTCATTTCCAACGGCCCTGGCGGAGCTACCATGCCAGCAGGCAGTGGTGCGTCCGCTGCTGGCAGGTGGGATCCGTCGCGGGCATCCTTCATTAAACCCTCGACAGAAAACTTCCCTGCTCGAGTTGCGCTGCAACTCCAAGACCCGCGTCCTGGCCAGGCGTGTCCTCCCTGCCTCCATTCTCCCGGCAGCCTTCTCCCTACTGCTTGCTCTCGCTCTTGCTCCTTGAAGACGTCAATGCATTTCACTCTCTGCAATCTGTCTCTCCTGACTACCTACCGGCGCTGCGGGAGGACAGCGGGCAAGACTGTGTCTACCTTCATTGTCTGCAGCGCCCACCTCTGACTCCTCAGCGAAAGTACACCTGTGGGTTTGGGCCACTAGGAAAAGCAGCCGAAAAAATTCGGTCTGCCTCAAAGCAATTGACAGACTCAATACTGCATTGCTTAAAGATATACTCCCCCCCCCCTTCAAGTGGGTGGGTATCATAGAGAAGCTAAGAGAAGGTTTTGAGAAAAATGGTTCCAAAGAAAATGATGTAGTGCCACCCAGATGAGAGGAATCTGACTGGGTTTATTCATTCTTGGATCCTTATATGAGTTTCAATTCAAATGCCTGGAACTCTCTGAACTCCTATCCAGCTGCTAAATAATTATTTGACCCATTAACTTCATAGGCCATGTTGCTCCATTCTTCCTCTTCATGGTTTTGCTCAAAAACTCAAGTTACAGTTTTAATTACTTGTCACTTAAATAAATGAACACTGATTATTTCTAATGAAAATGCTGAAGGAAGACACGGAGAGGTGCACAAAAGGTACAGACAATAAAGGCAAATACTACTACAGACCAATGCTGCATTATCAGTAACAGCAAACACTAATCTAAGGTTAGATACATAGGTACAGAGGTATGGATAGGCAAATGGAAATATACCCATGACCATACATAGGTTTGGCAGATGATATTCCTATATATGTATTTGTACGTGCTGTAAAAATACCTATATGCAGTTTAAACATTGCAGGTGGCAAAATTAGGATAATTTCTTAGCCACAAATAAGCACCTTGAGGGAGTAGGTCATTGGGCTAGGGACCATGGTCACAGGAGATATCTAGCTCAATTGGTACAACATGGAATACAAAAATATTGTTCTACATCTTACTTTGGTGAGTAGTGATTGGGGTCTTAGTCTCTCCTTGTCCACAGCAAAAAAGAATGAAGAAAATCAAAGATTCATGGAAACAGTTCAAAAGACTAATGGACCATGAGAACCTTAACCTATATGATCCAGAGACCAGAAGAACTACATGGTACCTGGCTACCAATGCCAACCCCTTAGAAAGGGAGAAAAATTGGAGATCCTGGATAAAAAACAAACAAACAAAAACCAAACCCACTGCCATTGAGTTAATTCTGACTCATGGCAACCCCCGTTGGGTTTCTGAGGCTGTGAATCTTTATGGAAATTGATCACTGCATCTTTGTTCCATGGAACAGCTGGTGGTTTTGACCTGCTGACCTTCTGGTTAGCAGCCAAATGCTTTCTCCACTACATATACATAGAGTAGGAGAAAAATGTGGAACAAAACTCAAAATCATAAAAATTACTAGGCTTACTGCAATTTTCTTTTAGAGACTGGTGAAACCCCGAGACTATGGTCCTGTGTCACCTTTCAGGCCTGGAACTGGAATTGATCTCATTCCCGTAATGATTAAAAAAGAAAGAAAGAAAGAAAATACTTAAGTATTGCAACAGAAATACACTATGGGTGTTGCAGAAAATGGAGACAGACTCTCAGAGCCTCACAGAACTTCCCTTCTGTCATCAAAACACAAGCCTCAAGGATGCAGAGTCCGACCAAGAAAAAATTGGAGGCAGATGACACAGATCTGTGTCCCTTGACTCTAGAAATGCCACTGTGGTATTTTTTTGTTGTTGTTGTTTTGTTTTGTTTTAAATCAATGTTATAATTTCTATAGAACTGGAAGGGTCAAAACGGCTCAGTCAAACCATATGATACAATGGATCTACTAATTACTTGCAAGCAAGTACAGTGGTAAAGCCAAGGCAACTGCTATCTAGTCCACTCCAATTCATGGTGACCCATGTGTTTCAGAGTAGAACTTTTTTCCATTGGGTTTTCAATGACTGACTTTTCAGAAGTATATTGCCAGGCCTTTCTTCTGAGGCACTTTTGGGTGGACTTGAACCTCCGACTTTTTGGTTACCAACTGAGCACATTAACCCACTACTCCAGGACACCAGAGGGTGGTGAAGTTGTAGTGAAAGCCTGAGATTTACTGCTACCATTGCAGCTTTGGCATTGCAGACAATATAGCATTAGAACAGTGGTTCTCAAAATATGGTCCGTGGAGACATGTGAATCCTAAAACATTTTCAAAAAGTTCATGAGGTCAGAGCTGTTTTCATAATAATACCAAAGCATCATTTGCCTTTTTCATTGTGTTGACATTTGCACTGGTGGTACAAAAACAATGGTTGGCAATATTGTTCGTGGCTTAGCATGAATCAAGGCAGTGCCATCAAATGATACTAATTGTCATTGTATTCTTCATTGCCATCTATTTGCAGAATGAAAACAGCCTCATTTTAAAATGTTATTGACAAAGTAGTAAAAGTTACTAATTTTATTAATTCTCTGCCCTTGAGTGCAGGTGTTTTAGTGTCCTGTGTGACAAAATAGGAAATACACATGCATTTCTGCTACATCTCAACTTAGGTAATTGTCTCAAGGGAAAATTCTTTGTGCAATTTTTTTCAGTTGCAAGCTGAACTAGCCACTTTTTCCATTTTTACTTGAAAGAATGATTGACAGACGAATTATAATTATTCAGACTTGGTTATTTGGTAGGCATTTTCTTGAAAGTGAATGAAGTGAGCTTGTCATATCAAGAAAAACAGCTGACAGTTGTTGTTAGTGATAAAATCTGAGTTTCAGGCAAAAATTAGAATTTTAAAAAACTTGTATCTGCCACCATGAGTTGCATGGCAACCCAATATTTGAAGATTTTTCTGATGATGTTGGTGGTGATATTAGCTACTGTGATATTTTTATTTTATATATATGTATGTATGTGTGTGTGTGTGTATATGTATATATATATATATATATATATATATATATATATGTATTTAAGCCTTAAGATTGCTATACCCTGTCCACACTATTGCCTGTTAAATTATCTCAATTGATTCTGTCTCAACAACCCCGTGACTAGATTATCTTCCTTCTTTTCCTTCTTGTTTTTGCTTTTTTTTTTTTTTTTTCTTGCCTTTATTTATTTAGGAGCTCTGGTAGCGTAGTGCGTAAGGCATTTGACTGCTAACCAGAAGGCTGGTAGTTCAAATCTACCAGCCACTCCTCGGAAGGAAGATTGAGTGACCTACTTCCATAAAAATTTTTCACCTCAGAAACCCAGTGGGGTTGTTATGCATTGCAATCAACTTGATGGCAGTGGGTTTGGTTTGAGGGAGTTAGATATTTCATAAAAGTGGAATCATGCAATATTTGACCTTTGGTGTCTGGCTTATTTCACTGAACATAATGGTTTAAAGATTCATCCATGTTTTGGCATGTATCAGAACTTCGTATCTCTTCATGGCTGAATAATACTGCATTGCATATATGTACCACATTTTATTTGTCCATTCATCTGTTGATGAACTCTTGGGTGGTTTTTGTGTTTTGACTATGGTGAATAATGCTGCCGTGGACATTAGGGTGCATGTGTCTGTTTGAGTTGTTGAAAAGCAATACCTCTTAAAAAGGCTTTTTAAGTAAGCATTGGAAAAGGGGAAAACAATTTTAAATAAATATATTTTTCAATTAGAAGTTGCTCTTCCTGGCCATTGGTGATAACAGGAAACACCTTCCCCAGGAATAATTAATATTATTATCTATTAGAGTAATGTTAAAAATTTTTCATTATTTATTTTGCACCAGGTGCTGTAATAAGTAAGCTCTTTATATGCATGTTTTATTTTAATCCTTACAGCAATTTTAGGAGTAGATATTTTTATCTTTGTTCTACATATGAGGATACTAGGTTCCTAGGGATAGAGAGCAGAGGAAAGCCCAGTACATGAACCCAGGTTTCTCATTACCAAATCCTGGACTATGTCACCTCCCATTGCATGGGCTAATTCCTCTTCTCATTGAGACACCTGTCTCATGAAGTGTAGACTAGTATCCCATCATATCTTACCTGCACTACAACAATAGCACTGTTCTCACTTCTGCTTCCACTCCCTTACCCAGAATATTCTCCACACCAGAGTGAGTTTCCTAAAGCAGAAATCAGATCAGTCCCTCCAATGTCTTCCCATTACTTATTTATTTTGTCACTTTTAACTTCCTTAACTTGAAATTTAACTTTATAATCCGACCCCCTACCACTCTAGCCCTTATCCACTATACTAATTCATATCAGCCTTTCGGTTCTTCAAACACACCAAGACTGTTCCACCTTAGGATCTTTGCAGTAACAGTTTCCTCTATCAGGAATCCTCTTCTTCCAATTTTCCCATGGCTAGCTCATTCTTGTCATTCAGTTTCAATGTCACTTCCTCAGAGAGACCTTTTCGACCACTCTTTCATCCTACTTACAGTCTCTGCCTCATACTCATAACTCTGACATTCTTATTGCCTTTTTTTTTTTTTTTTAAATTTTCTCTCCCCTCAGTACAATTGTAAGATTCCAAGGCCAGCAGCTTTGTTTGTCTCTTCTACCACAGTAACCCCATTGCCTGGAACAGCACCTAGCACATCTTCCAAACCAAACCAAACCCATTGCCATCTGGTCAATTCTGGCTCTTGGTGACCACATGTGTTACAGAGTAGAACTGCTCATGGGGTTTTCTTGACTGTGAACTTTATGGAAGCAGATTGCCAGGCTTCTCTTTCATGGTTCCAACGGGTGGGTTCAAATCACCAATCTTTAGGTTAGTAGTCAAATGCAAACCATTTGTGTTTTACAGGGATTTTGGGCACATGTTAGGCCCTCCATAAATATTTATTGCATGAATGATCATCTTTTCCTTTCTCTTTTTCAAATGAGACAAAATCGTAAGACAGATAACTTGTAGACATGGCACATAATTAGGAAGCTTTCTAAATATCCCCCACCATTGCTTTCCCCTCTGTGGAATTCTAGTAGTCTGGAGCAGGCAGATCCCCCCTTACCTCTATAAGTCAGCAGGGCTTCATCGAGGAACTCAGCAGCCTTCCGGAAATGCTGTGAGATGTCCACTTCAGGGAAGTCATCCACCTCCACACCCAGGTACTGGATCTGCAGGCCAGTGTAGAATTCCGGCCCAGTGTAAACACCCGTGCCGTGAGCAGCATTCAGGATGTGGGTAATCCCCAGCCTCTTCAGTCTCCCCTTATTCACAGCCACGCTCCTGGGAGAAAGAGGCAGACATGTCTTTGACAGAGCTAGAAAGAAGCCCTCCTGCTAGAAAGAAGCCCACCACAATTGATAGTCTGCTTCAATCAGGTCAGGATGGCCATAGCTTGGTGAATGCCTCCTCTGCTTCTAAATGTGTCCAGTTGTTGTTGTTAGTTGCTATCGACTCAATTCTAACTCATGGTGACACCATGTGTGCAGAGTAGAACTGCTCTCAAGAGTTTTCAAGGCTGTGACCTTCTGAAAGCAATTCATCAGGCCTGTCTTCCAAGGCACCTCTGGGTGAGTGTGAACCACCAACCTTCCGATTAATAGTCTAGAGCTTTGCCATTGGTGCCACCATGGAGATCTGGAGTCCACTGCAAATATGATTATAAGAAGAAGCCCATAACCTGGCAGTGTCAAGAGTAGGGCAGGATGAAGAGGAGAACAAGACTGGTGTAAGGAAACCTTTGAAAGGTCCAGAGAGAGACCTGATTTAAAAACCTCACACCTTGGGAATGGACATTCAATAAGACACAAAAGTGACAGACAAAAATAATAAGAGGATGGGTACTTTATATTGATATACATGCTATAGTTTTCAAAGCACTTTCATAAGCACTTTTAAAAGATGTTATCTTAATAATGGACTTGAAATGTAGATAAGGCAACCATTTTTATTCCCATTTGAAGCTAATAAAATGAATCAAAGAGTGGTTATATAACTTCCCAACATTGTGAAAGGAAAAAAAGATGGAACAAGAGCCAGTGTTCTTGATTTCTAGTTCAGAGCTCTTTTTGCTGCAGCTAATTAAGTAGAGCTTGGTTTCAAGAGGCCCTGAGGACAGAGTTGTCAAAAAAGGAGCAGAGGCCTTTAGTTGAGGATGTCTGGAGACTTTCAGGACTTCCTGAAGTCCTTGATGGCCACAAATGTGAATGTTTCTGCACCTACAGATCTATTTAGGGGTCACTTATGACTCAGTGTCCAGCTCTGGGAATTGGACTCTGGGCAACTGATTATTCCATACTGCAGTACAAGACCCAGTGTCCAAAGCTATTTTCACTGCTACCTGCCCTTGATGCCTCCTTCTGGATATATGGGTAATTAAATTGGAAGAACATCTCATCAAGTACTCAAAGGATCAGCAAAAATTAGTTTCACTGGTTAACCCATTGGTATGATTGTGCATGGGTGAGGCCCTGAAAGAATAGGATGATAGTGAGTTGTTTTTAGTTCTGTTCTGAAAATTATTGCAAAACTGATTAAAATGTTTTTTAAAAAGCAATACGTTTTTAGGGGTCCAGGTTTGCTGGTCTGATAGAGCCTGGTGGAACCATTGAGACTATGGTCCCTAGCTGCCCTTCAGATCTGGAACTGAACCACACCTGTGGCTTCCAGCCAAACAAAAGACAGGCATATGATTTGAACATGTACTTGAGGTAGAAAACTCCTTGGAAAGAATAATCATGGGAGAAAGAGGGGTTATTTATGCACAGGGAGACAGTTCAGGGGGCAGGAGTGCATGGAGGGATGGACACAGGGAAGAGGTAATTATTGGGAGGAAGTGGGATGGGAGCTGTTGCATTGGGGTAATTATAGTTAATGTCATGAGACAACGTGTGTGTGAACTGCTGTATGGAAAGTGAATTTGCTCGTAAACTTTCACCCAAATCACAATTAAAAAATAATAATAATACTTTTTTATTATAAAAATAATTAATGTTTATAGTAGAACAACTGTACAGTTAAAAAAATCTAAAGAAAATGAAAATCACTTATAAAACCACTTCCCAGAAAAAGTGCTGCTAACATTTTGTTCTATTTCTTTCTAGTTTGTTTCCATGCAGAAGCATACACAGACACACAAACATCTATATAGTACTGAACTAGCATCATGATGGATATACATTTTTTTGTACTTCATTTTTTCTCTACCATATTGTGAATATTTTCATATTTTAATAGATTTGTATGCAAATCAGTATTGTCAGTGGTTCTGGGTGTCCTGTTATATGGCTGTTATGATGTCAGAGATCCCAGTGATAGCTGGAGATGAGTTGGTAGGACTCTATGGTAGGAAGGGAGGCCCAGAGAAGCACCTGGAGGGACACAGCTATGATGGCTATGACAAGAGGGCAGGGGATAAGCAATCATGCCAACATTTTGCCTGGTGATAGAGATGTGCAAGTGAGTGGATGACTTTTCTCCAAGGCTAGAGCTGAGTGAGTGGTCAGCCAGCTTCAAATTGCTGGATGAAATGGTTGGGGCCTTTGGTGAAAGTTGGGGGAATTACATCTCTTATAAGTACTAACCAGAGGGGTGGAACAAAGGGTCATGACCCCTAAGAGTTAGACTCACTTCTCAGCTATGAAGATATTGGGCCAGACTTCATCCACCTCATTCCAGGGGGTCTCGTGGCGGTCCTGGACCAGGGCCCGCTGCAGGTCCAAGACGCAGGGGGTATTGTACAAGCTAGTGTCGTCCATCTTCTCCCTGACGCGGTTGTACAGGTCCTCTACCAGCAGCTGCTCAGCAGATTCCAGCAGGCCTGGGCACTCTGAGTCTGCTCTGACCCCTCGCTGCTTGAGTTCTAGAGGAGACAGGGCAGGCAACACACTCATCAAAGAGTTAGGAACACTATGATTTTCCTAGTAACTTAGGAGAGCTCACTCTTGGCCAGTTTGCTGCCTGAACTTTGAGTACAGACTGAAATGCCCCCATCTTCCTCCCACAGAGCAGCTGGTGGCTTTGAACTACTGCCCTTCTGGTTAGCAGCCAAATGCCTTATCCACTATGCCACCAGAGCTCCTATGCCATCCACAGACCCAGAGGGCCCACGGTGCTGCCCTGGACATTTGTGATCAGGGTCAGCAGCAGTATGCATAGATGTGGGTGAACAGGAACATATCTCTTATCTCGCACTCCCATATTTTCTCTCAAGCTGATTGGAACCTTGGACTGAAATCATTAAATACTAGGCATCTGTCTGAGCCATACCTATAACTCCCACAGTGCCCAATACAAAGTGGATGCTCAGAAATATTTAGTGAATAAATAAATGATATTCTTTCATAACATAATTCACTCTATAGATGAAATACAAATAACATTGGGAAAAATAAAACTCTCAGCAGTCACTAATGCCATATTACCTTCTACTTTACTTATTTTATTTATTGTCTGTGCCCCCCTACTAGAACATGAGCTCCTGTGATTCTCAGTCTCTCAATGCTCATACAGGTGGCAAAAGTTTGACCTGAGGTCCAAAATCAGTCTCAAAACAGGCCTCAGGACCTTTCTGTACAAGTCAAAAAAATAAACCTACTGCTATTGAGTCAGATCTGACTCATAGTGACCCTTCCTTGGGTTTCCAAGGCAGTATTGCTAGGGAAGTAGATTGCCCAACCTTCCTTCCAAGGAGTGGCTGGTGGGTTTGAACCACCAGCCTTCAGGTTAGCAGTCAAATGCCTTACGCACTATGCCACCAGAGCTCAAATTCCAAATGAATACAAATTCCAACACATTCCTGTCTGGGATGAACCTTTTTTCTCCTCTTTGTAATATATTTTCTTGAGATTTCTCAAGTATTTTGGGAAAGTAGGATGTTTTCCTTCTGTAAGAAGGCGAACAAGAGTAAGGGAGAGTGAAACCTTCCCTTCCACTTGGTAGACAAAAATACAGAATGGAAAGGAAAGAAAAGGAGAGGAGAGGACAAGAGAGGAAAGGAAAGGAAAGGAAGGGGGTGAAGAAGGAAAGAAAGAAGAGAGGAAGAGAGAAGAGAAGTAGGAAAGGTGTGTCTTTTGTGTTGACCATACTTCTTGTCTTCTTGCCAGCATCATCTCTATTCCTGCCAGTCTTGGTGTCTGAACTATGAGCTGTGTGAAGAGTTCTCTGCATTTGGAAAGTCGAATTGGCCCAGTGTTCACAGAATGTGTTCACGACAGGTATCTGTGAGCTAGGCTTGCTGCTTAAGGATTGGGCATCCTGAGAATTCTCATTTTTACACAGGGCTGAGAAGTCCATTTCCCTAAACTTTCTCTCTTCTTTCTTTCCTCCTTTAAACCACCTGGTGGCCACTGGATGGCCTGCACATCCCAGCCTCACTTCTACGCTCTAAATGATCTTTGATTTCCATGTCAAAAGCAGAAAGAAGAAAACATCTGCAATCCCAGTACTCTTTTGTTTAAAAATAGAAGCCTTAATGGCAGAGGTTCCAGGGTAAGATGGTGGAATAGGCAGAAAGACTGCACAGACCCTCTTCAACAAAGAAAAGGGGAACCAATTAACACAGATACAGAAGATAATTCTGGACCCCTGATCTTTGAAGGGAAGAATATACAAGTGGACTAAACTCCAACTAGCAGAAGAATTTGAATGAAAACACCAAAAAAAGGAGATATATGGAGCTGCGGTCTGGTGGAGATCCTGAAGGCACAGACAGCTTAGATATTGCTGAGTCATGTTAGGAACTAAGAATTAACCTAAAAATTAGCCCTGCTAGCCAGGGACTGCACAGAGGACTGCTCTGGTGGCTGGTGAATAAAAGGGGAAGGAGCGAAGAGGAAGGTGGGCTGAGCTGTGGACATTTGCCTGTCTAGAGGGCGTAGCCATTTTGAATGTTTACAAGTGGTTTGACCATTTTGGATACTTAAAGCCACAGCATTCTCCCACATTCCGGGACTTAAATACAGGCTTCACTTACTGGGAACCACAAGGACATTCCAGATGTGGACAACTAGAAAGGTGCAACATTCCTCTTGTTAATCTTATACCCCACACCCTCTTGGTGAATGGAGGTACAGCCATCCCTCACTCCCACATACCTTCTAGGCTGGCAGGAATTCCATCGCAGTCTGTATGCTCAGACAGAGTCTGGGTGTCCTGCCCCATCCTGCCCTGATTATTTTTATTTTTTTTTTAGTTTGTTTTGTTGTCTGTTTTAAAACTACTACTATTATTATTACTTTTGTCATTTTTATTATTATTCTTCATTCTTCCCTTTCCAGGTTCAAGTTTTCAGCTCTTTCTCTCTTCCCTGTTCCTGGTTCCATTTTTTTTTTTTTTTTCTCATGGTTAACCCTGTTTCTTGCTTTTCTTTTTGCATTTTTCCCATTTTCTTTTTCATCTCCTGCTCTATCCTTTTTCTCTTATTGCCCTCTCCCCAGAGATTGTGGTGTTTTTTTTTCCCATCCTTTTTTCTTTTTTTTGGTTATTGTTCTTGTGTGATTATACAGTGTGTTTTTTGTCCATTTGCTTTTACTTTTTTGATGGTTATTCAATTGTTACTTTTTTCTGAGTGGGAGACAGCAACAGTTCCCATATGACACAACTACACCCACACCTCCTGCAGCTTCAGTAATGAGTGAGAACCACTACTTCCTTCTCCAACAGGCCAACAATAAACAACCACCAAGAAGAGCCTGACTCAACCTTAGCTGCTCTTCAGAAACAGGTAACAGAGATATAAAGACAATAATTTCACAATGTCTCAGAGATAATAGACCATCAAAGTCCACACAAAGAAGCAAGATAAAGTGGCAGAAACAAGGGAGAAGAATACAGACAGAGAACACATCCCTGAGGAAGAAGCAGTACTGGAACTCTGTGATAAGGAATTCAAAAGAATTATATTTAGGTATCTTCAAAGGGTTGAGAGACAGATCAAGGAAAACAGACAAAATCCTGGGAGAATTTCGGAAGAAAATACAAGAACAAAATGACAAAATAAATGAAAAATTAGAAATGACTCAAAATCTACAGATAGAAATCCAGAAGATTAATACTAAATGGTCAGAAATAGATAACACGTTGAAAGGGAAAAGGAGTAGAATTGATGCAATTAATGAGACTGAAGACAAATACATGAATACTTCTTTGAAAAGGGATCAATCAGAAAAAAGATCAAAACAAAATGAAGATAGCCTAAGGTTCATGTGGGATACCATCAAAAGGAATAACCTACATGTCAGGGGAATTCCAGAACAGGAAGAGAAAAATAAAAACACCGAGAAAATTGTCCAAAATTTTTTGGAAGATAACTTCCCTGAATATAGTGAAAGATGAGAATATATCAATTCAGGAAGTCCAATCAACCCCAAACAGGATAGACCCCAAAAGAAAATCACCAAGACACATCATCATCAAACTCATCAAAACCTAAGACAAAGAAAGAATCCTGAAAGCAGCACAGGAAAAACAAAAAGTTACTTACAAAGGACAACCAGTAAGAATAAGCTCTGATTTTTCAGCAGAAACCATGCAAGCAAGAAGGCAATGGGATGGTATATATAAAACCCTGAAAGAGAAAAATTTTAAACCAAGAATTATATACTCATTGTCCCTCAAATATGATGGTGAAATTAGGAGATTTCCAGATAAGCAGAAACTAAGGGAATTTGTTAAAATCAAACAAACCTTACAAGAGATATTTAAGGGAGTCCTTTGAACAGAGAACCAAAAATAGCGAACAACAATGGACCATTAATACACAAGATGACATAACCCAGAAACCACAACTATGGACATATCCAAAGTAAAATAAGTTTACAAGATTGTAAACAGGGAACCAGAGACATCAATTGGCAAATGAGGACTACAAACCAAAAACAGGGAAAATATTGTGTAGTTACAGACTTCTAAATGGAGAGGAAGTCAAGAGAGTTGCAAGATAGAATGGACTCTTCTAACCTTGGGGAGAATATTATAAATCACAGGGTAACCTCAAAGAAAAAT